AGGCCAACAGCTTACCTGCTACAAACGACGTCTGATCTCTGTGCTGTGGCACAGCTGTGGAGTGCTCACTGAATTGATTTTTCACATCAGGAGAGGGTCTGGTTAGAGGCAGTGGGATGTCAGAAACTGCTAACGGTGCTGTTATGTGCCACTAGTATTTGAATCAAGAACTACAGCATCATCAGCTGGAGCCCTGCAAAAGCTCTTCTGCTGCATGCATCGCGTCTGAACCAAACACATCCGCTTGCTGAAGGCATAAATGACCTTGAAACATGCTCAGCTGACAACGTGCTGTGCGAGCACTCCCATTCCACAATTACAGCTGTCGCAGCACAATCGGCCATCTCAGTGTCTCCTCAGTAATGCCTGTAGTAGCCAGAAATGCCGAGCGTAAGGGAACACTGCTATCTGACCAGCTGTGAATTTTACTGCCTGCTTCTACAGCCACCCTGAGGAGCCCAGGTTTGGCTGAGCATGGTAATCGCAGTGACAGTTTTCTGGGTTGCATATTTGGTGCAAACACTCCCAGGAATGTCACACAGTGTAGGCTTGGGGAACAGAATTGCAAGGGGTGGACTCCTAACATCAGTGCCCTGACTGTTGGGGTGGGGTTTTTTTAGCACTGGTTCATCTCCATCTTGCAACTGAGACTGGATTACTCCGAAGTGGCAAGCAGAGTCCCTCCAGGGTCTGGGTTCACGCCTCTCAGGATGGTTCCTGTGTCCAGGTTACAGGCCAGCGGGAAGCCACACCTGAACCCAGGTCTCCCTACTCCCTTTTCAGAAGCCTTCCTTGTCCAGAGAAATGAGGCTTCCAGGAGCAAGACTCTTAGCGTCAGCGGTATTTTGGTGTTTGTGCACAGCACAGAGGTGCCTCACAGCCTGCAGAGAGCTGCAAAGCAGTGGGACACCCAGCATCTTGTTAAAGCCGCGGAGGGAAGAGCAGACACTAAATTGAGCTCCCGTTTAAAACAAGCAACTCTTAGGCAGCCTCCTTCCACCTCCTGGGGCCAGGGACAGCTTCCGTGTGTAAGGTGAGGAGAACACGTGGCAGCTGGGTAATCCTTGCACCTTCTGAAAGCATAAATGGATGCAAGCACCTGAGAGTAGCGTCCCCAGGATGTTCTCAGCGAGCATACGGACAGGAGAACTATCGGGGAGCTGCTGAGGAGTTCTGCAACTTTGGAGCCGAGGAAAAGGTTGGGCTGTCGGATGTGTGCACAGGTTGCAGGAAAATGAGATGCCCAGCCAGTGATGGAGCGCTAGGGAGGAAAGCTTCCCCGCCACCTACTCTGACATCTGGGAGGTGAGGATTGGTGGGTTGTACTTTCAGGTTTGTTTTTTTAAAAAGCAGCTCAGCAAAGTACACTCACAGGCTTTTTCAGTCTCTTATGCAAGCTGACCATTTCTAATTCGCACAACCAACAGTGCCGTATCCTAACCTCGGTATTTGTAACAAGACAGATGAGTGACCAAAAATTGCCATGAGCAGAGGAGAGGGGAGTTAAGGCAGCTACCAAATTCCAGCCACCTATGAACCCTGTCCCATCTACTGTGAAAAAGGCAAGTCTGTCTGGCAGATCTGAGCCCCAGTGCCAGGTTCCCAGACCAGGAACTATTTGCTCTCTGGAGGAATGGCCCGGAACACTGAGAAACAACAAATAAAAGAAAACAACAAAAAAAGCCGTTTTCCAAGGTCTGCTAATCTTTTTTAAACTGGAGCCATCCAGCCAATCCCTACGACTATAACTTATCAGTCTGTTCCCAGAATTTTGTTTTTCCGTACCAAATGTGAGACTTTACTAAAATAAAAATAATAAAGCAGCCCTGGCTGTGAAAATCTACCCATCCTTGGCAACAACAGGACTACAGAGATGCTTGAAGTGCTGCACACCCAGGAGATACCAGAATCAGGCTCCTAGTATGCAATAGGAGCTACCACAGCTGTTACCAAAAACAGTAATGTTTTTCTCTCCGCTCTTACTACCTAGATGCTGCTTTAATTCTTGTGTGAAAATGTGCTAAATGAACATGTTAAAAGTGTCATCCCCTTCCTGCTGTTTGATATTGCACTGACACCTGATACGAATGGTTTTCATTTCAGCTTGAGGAACGTATGTAAAAGCGTGTAGTTACAGCGGTGTAAGAGACTGAGAGAGCCTGGCCACGTACAATCAAGTAAATGCAGAACTAATATGGGTTCATTTTCGTATTCAGGTGCAACAGAGACTATTAACGCTCATGGCAGATGCTTGATATTTTATTTGAATAATTGACATTATTTAAAATAAAACTCAGTTTACTACAGAACTCTGGTAAAATTTGTTTTAAAGTAAATGTGATCAAAATGCCCATTTGATTGCAAAAGCTTAACTGGGGCTGGGAACCGGTACGAGATCCTGGCCTCTGATGCCACTGGTGTTTCAGAAGCTGTCCGCCTGCCACGGGCAGCTGACCCGAACAGCCTGCGGCAGCAGCAGAACAACCCCTGCATGAGGTTTTTGAGGTTTTGCTGCACTCCTGGCAGAAGCTGGCAGTCTCCCAGCGCGGAGAGCTGCCCCGACACTGCGCCCCCGCACCGGCGCGCCCCTGCTGCCCGACAGCCCCTAGGATGCCAGGAAGAAGTCCCCCTCAGCACAAGGCAGGACAAGAGCAGCACCTCTCATCCCGACGGATCAGCCGGGCCGCTGCTGTCCAGGAGCCATCAGGAGGCAGCTCAGGGGTCTGGCTCACAGCACAACCGCCTGCTTTGGCTCTGCCTCTATGCTGCTCCTCACACTCCTTTCCACCAAGGCACCCAGACCTCAGTGTCTGGCAGCAGCCACCACAAGGCAGCAGAACAACCTCTGACAAAGTTGGAACAGTGCTGAGCACCAGGTACATAAACAGATCAGACCTGAGGACCTAAGGAAAAGCCCTAAGGCCCTAAGTGTGATGGGGGACGCAGTCATCCTCCCAGCAGCCGGGCAGAGCCCAGCCTCGCACCAGCCCTCAGCAGGACCTCCCCATGTCCAGGCTGAGCTTTGTTCGTAACTCAGCAG